GGTCAATGCCCACCAAACCCTTCTAGTGTTGTCTGTTGGTCATGGGAGTCCTGTGTGCCATGTTTGGTTCAATTCCATAACTGGTGGAGTCCAGAATGCTCTTTGATTGTAGGTGAACTATAAATCCCAGCAACTACAACTCCCAAATGACAAAATCATAATTTTTCGAGTGATGGTCACTCCTTGTGTGGTGAGACATTTTGTTGCCAAATTTGGTGTGATTGGTTCTTTTGTTTGTTCATTGGTTCTTTTGTTTTTAAGGAACTCATTATGCACAGATAATTTTTTTATATATAGATATATATTCACCCACCTTTGTCTTCAACAGTGTCACATTCCAAGAGAAAAGCAATGATGTCTGACTGCATCTCCAAGCACAAATGCAATTTCCCACTGCATGTGTCCATCACCAGGTCCCATTCAGACATACAAAAAGGAGATGAGGCAGAGCGGCCAAGTCAAGGGATGTCCTGGGAGGCTTCGGCCCCGATCCCAGGACCACACCACCAGAGTTGGAGGGAGTTTTCCCCGGGATTTGTAAGGCGGCTGGTAAGGTGGTCATCTTGCTCTCCTTCGTCCCCACTATCCGAGAGACTGGGGAACTTGCGCTGGCCGGAGGAAGCTGCCAGCAGAGGAAGGCTGGGGTGGAGGCTGAGCAGAGAGTATAAAAAGGTTACAACGGGAATCAAAGAAGGACCCCAAGGGACATCTAGACCAGGCATGGGCAAACTTCAGCCCTCCAGATGTTTTGGACTTCAACTCCCACAATTTATAACTGCCTACTTCGATAATCAGGCCTACTAACAATGAGGCTTCTTCTCCCACTGAGGTGATCTATAATAACACTTTATTTATACCCCGCTACCATCTCTCCAAGGGACTCGGTGCGGCTTACATGAGGCCGAGCCCAAATACAACAGTACAAGCAATTAAAATAAAAACAGATAAAATCTATGATACTGTGTGTGTGTGTGTGTGTGTGTGAATCATATATATCTATCTATATCTATGGCTAAATGGCTCTTTGTCAGGAGGGCTTTGATTACGTTTTCTTGCCCTGGTGAAGGGAGTTGGACTGGATTGCCTTAAATATTTTCTGTTGCTCATGAGGGTTCTGTGTGGGAAGTTTGCCCCAATTCTATTATGGGTGGGGTTCAGAATGCTCTTTGATTGTAGGTGAACTATAAATCCCAGTAACTACAACTCCCACATGTCAAGGTCTATTTCCCCCAAACTCCATCTGTGTTCATATTTGGGCATATGGAATATTCATGCCAAGTTTGGTACAGACCCATCGTTTCAGTCCACAGTGTTCTCTGGCTGTAGGTGAACTACAACTCCCAAACTTAATGTCAATGCCCACCAAACCCTTCTACTGTTTTCTGTTGATTATGAGAGTCCTGTATGCTATGTTTGGTTCAATTCCATCATTGGTGGAGTTCAGAATGCTCTTTGATTGTGGGTGAACTATAAATCCCAGCAACTACAACTCCCAAATGACAAAATCAATTTTTTTGAGTGAAGGGCATACATTGGGTTGTTAAGTGTATGCTGTCCAAATTTGGTGTCAATTCGTCCAGTGGTTTTTTAGTTATGTTAATCCCACAAATGAACATTACATTTTTATTTATATGGTGGGATCGAGAGAAGGGCACTCTCCGGATGATCGAAGGGATCGTGTGGGTTCATATACAGAGATGCGGTCACGCAGGTAGGCAGGTCCCAAACCGTTCAGGGCTTTGTAGGTAAGAACCTGCACCTTGAATTGGGTAAATGAATGGCAGCCAGTGGAGCTCCTTGAACAGGAGGGTTGACCGCTCCCTGTAAGGAGCCCCAGTTAACAACCTGGCTGCCGCCCGTTGGATCATCTGAAATTTCCGGGCCATTTTCAAGGGCAGCCCCACGTAGAGTGCATTGCAGTAATCCAGTCTAGAGGTGACTAAGGCGTGGACCACTTTGGCCAGATCCACCTTCACGAGGTACGGTCGCAGTTGGCGCACGAGTCTTAATTGTGCAAAGGCCCTCCCGGCCACCACCGACGCCTGAGCCTCAAACGTCAGTGAAGAATCCAGGAGGACCCCCAAACTGCGGACCTGTGACTTCAGGGGGAGTGCAACCCCGTCCAGCACAGGTTGCCACCCTATACCCCGGTCTGGTTTACGATCGACCAGTAGGACCTCTGTCTTGTTGGGATTAATCTTCAGCTTGTTCGTCCTCATCCAGACAGCCACAGCGGCTAAGCAGTCGTCTAACACTCGAGGGGCTTCTCTCACACTGAGGCATTACTAAGCAACAGGTATGCCTGCTTATATTGAACTGTAGCTTCTCTGAGTCACTGCATCCTACCGGCTGTTAGGAATTGTGGGAGCTGAAGTCCAAAACACCTGGAGGGCAGAAGTTTGCCCTTAGCTTCTCGAACAAAGAGTGCTGGGGCCTCTCTTGAAACACTAACCATAGGGTTGCACTGGAACACCTAGAGCAGTGCTTCTCAACCTTGGGTCTCCAGATGTTTTTGGCCTACAACTCCCAGAAATCCCAGCCAGTTTACCAGCTGTTAGGATTTCTGGGAATTGTAGGCCAAAAACATATGGGGACCCCAGGTTGAGAACCACTAACCTAGAGATTCCTACAGGGAATACTAAGAGGAGATTCTATGGAACTGTCCACCACCCTCCTTCCCAAATCCAACAACAGTCAGGAGACATCTTGCTACAGGCAATAAGTACCTGACTCCATTGATGCAGTCTTGCAGGGCCTGGAATTGCAAAACAGGATGTAGCACAGGCTGAGGATCACTGCTCGGAGGCTGAGTGGTGTCCCAAACAGAGACAAGACCTTCTGTGTTCCCGCTCACCAAAAAGACCCCACTCCTGCGAAGGAAAGCATGGGAAAGTTTGCAAAATTGTCAACAGGAATCATGACAATCCATCACATCCACAGCACATAAGGACAGTGTAATTTAGCCTGGAACTGTATTGACTTTCTTGGCTGCTGTCAATGAAAAAATAAAAGCAATTTACTTTTGGGAAGATGTGGCAGGAAAAGGTCTCTGCTATGAAGTCTAGAATGGCCAACAAGAACAACACTGGAGCCACTCTGTCTCTGACCAACCAACATTCAACAGCTGCAGAAAATACCAGGCCAGGGAGAGTTGCTTTGGAATCTCCTGTCAGTTCCCAAGAAACGGGAGAAAGCGAAAACCATTCCCATACAGGCTGAGAGAAATGTGTGAGACTTTGTCTTGGTCAAAGCGATTGTAGTGGTGGAGACAGGGCTTGCAACAAAGACAGACTCGCTTTTCCCAGAGACTTAAGAGATAAGGAGTGGAGAAGCAGGTGCGTCAGAAATGATGTCATGGGAGTGACTCAGGCTTTCAAAAGTGGTTTCTGCTGGTACAATCCTTATGAGAGCAATGCTGCATTCAGGTGAAGAGCTCTCAGTTTTTGGGCAGGTGTACTTGGAATTCATGTATTCAAGTTTTAAGCTGCTCTTCCTCCCAGTTCATGTGGCATAGTTTGCCTGCCTTGGATTCACGCTACCTTGTCTTTGGATATCTCTATGGATTGACTGGGTAGACTTTCTTTGAATTGATTTTTTGGACTCTCCACTTTCCTGGAAATAACCTTTTGAACTTTGCTTCTCTCTTTTGAATTTACTTGCTTTTTATATGCTTTCAATAGACTTTACTTATTGGGTTACTTGGACTGTGTGGTTTGTGGTGAAAAGGTTTCAGGGCCCTAGTGCAACACTTATACAGTAAAAATTATATGAAGCTTACATATATGTACATATGTGTATATGTGTGTGAATATATTTCTTGCTGTGTCTTTGTCAGTGTTGATGTGGAGATTGTTTGGTTTGCCTACTCTGGAACAGGCAACATATCACTGCCCTTCTTTAGGGTTCCCTTTCAAATATATGATACTATGTGTGTGTGAATCATATATATCTATCTATATCTATGGCTAGATGGCTCTTTGTCAGGAGGGCTTTGATTACGGTTTCTTGCCCTGGTGAAGGGAGTTGGACTGGGTCGCCTTAAGTATTTTCTGTTGCTCATGGGGGTTCTGTGTGGGAAGTTTGCCCCAATTCTATTATTGGTGGGATTCAGAATGCTCTTTGATTGTAGGTGAACTATAAATCCCAGTAACTACAACTCCCACATGTCAAGGTCTATTTCCCCCAAACTCCATCTGTGTTCATATTTGGGCATATGGAATATACATGCCAAGTTTGGTCCAGACCCATCGTTTCAGTCCACAGTGTTCTCCGGCTGTAAGTGAACTACAACTCCCAAACTCAGAGAGAGGAGATTCCATCTGAACATTAGGAAGAACTTCCTGACTGTGAGAGCCGTTCAGCAGTGGAACTCTCTGCCCCGGAGTGTGGTGGAGGCTCCTTCTTTGGAAGCTTTTAAGCAGAGGCTGGATGGCCATCTGTCAGGGGTGATTTGAATGCAATATTCCTGCTTCTTGGCAGGGGGTTGGACTGGATGGCCCATGAGGTCTCTTCCAACTCTTTGATTCTATGATTCTATGATTCTAAGGTCAATGCCCACCAAACTCGTCTAGTGTTTTCTGTTGGTCATGGGAGTCCTGTATGCTATGTTTGGTTCAATTCCATCATTGGTGGAGTTCAGAATGCTCTTTTACTGTAGGTGAGCTATAAATCCCAGCATCTACAACTCCCAAATGACAAAATCATAAATTTTTTGAGTGATGGACACTCCTTGGGTTAGTAGGTGTTTTGTGTCCAAATTTGGCAGCAATTTGCCCAGTGGTTTTTGAGTTATCTTAATCCCACAAACGAACATTACATTTTTATTTATATAGATACTAACTGACCCCTGCCACACGTTGCTGTGGCACAGTGTGTGTATATGTGTTTTGTGTGTATATATATGTGTGTGTGTATATATATTTGTGTATATGTGTATATATAGATGTTTATGTTTATATATATGTGGTTTTGCGCATGCATTGTAATATAATTTTTCTTATTTTTTGGCTTTTTAAGTCTCTTCCACTGTGTTTTCCAGTGTTTTGATGAGTGGTGGTCACTCATTGGCCTGATACGTGTATTGTGTCCAAATCTGGTGTCTATTTGTCCAGTGGTTTTTGAATTCTGTTAATCCCGCAAACGAATATTACATTTTTATTTATATATAGATATATATGACAGATATGTTGTGTTATCTTCTATATATATAAAAATGCTCTGTGCATAATGAGTTCCTCAAAAACAAAAGAACCAATGAACGAAATCACACCAAATTTGGCAACAGAACGTTTCACAACACGTTTCATAATCACAAAATTATGATTTTGTCATTTGGGAGTTGTAGTTGCTGGGATTTATAGTTCACCTACAGTAAAAGAGCATTCTGAACTCCACCAATGATGGAATTGAACCAAACGTGGCACACAGAATTCCCATGACCAACAGAAAACACCAGAAGGGTTTGGTGGGCATTGACATTGACTTTGGGAGTTGTAGTTCACCTACATCCAGAGAGCACTGTGGACTCAAACGATGATGGGTCTGGACCAAACTTGGCACGAATACTCAATATGCCCAAATATAAACACAGATGGAGTTTGGGGAAAATAGACCTTGACATTTGGGAGTTGTAGTTACTGGGATTTATAGTTCACCTACAATCAAAGAGCGTTCTGAACCCCACTAACGACAGAATTGGGACAAACCTCCCACACAGAACCCCCATGACCAACAGAAAATACTTAAGGCCATCCAGTCCAACTCCCTTTACCAGGGCAAGAAAACGTAATCAAAGCCCTCCTGACAAAGAGCCATCCAGCCATAGATATAGATAGATATATATGATTCACACACAGACAGATATAGTATCATAGATTTGAAAGTACCCCTAAAGAATGACAATTCTATGCTCCAGAGTAGGCCAACCAGACAATCTCTACATCAACACAAGCATAAAGAAATTACATATATTAGAAACCAACACTTTCTCATTACTTTATTTTCCAGATCACCAGACTGTGCCACAGCAACACCTGGCAGGGGACAGCTAGTATTATATATATATATATATTGCATGAAACTCTTGTAAGGAGTTGGTTTAACCCCCAGTTTGCTAGTAAATCTAAATTACCATATTGCAAAAGGATTCATGTTTAAAGTGTGTAACCAAAATGAAAGGTTTGGAAAGCTCTGATCTAATCTAATCATGGCCTTCGCGGCTTTCCGCTACGTTTTTCCAGCTGCACTTGAAGATGTTGGAAAAGGAAACTAGGATCTTCTGGGTGCAAAGCAGGGCCTTGGGATCCTTTACAGCAGTGTTTCTCAACCTTCCTAATACCACGATCCCTTCATACAGTTCCTCATGTTGTGGTGACCCCCAAACAGAACATTATTTTGGTTGCTACCTCATAACAGTCATTATGCTCCTGTTATGAATTGTAATGTAAATATCCAATATGCAGGATGTATTTTCATTCACTGGACCACATTTAGCACAAATACCCAATACACCCAAATCTGAATACTGGTGGGGTTGGGGGGAGGGCATTTGGGAGTTGTAGTTGCTGGGATTTATAGTTCACCTACAATCAAAGAGCATCCTGATCTCCACCAATGATGGAATTGAGCCAAGCTTGGCACATAGAACTCTCATGATGAACAGAAAATACTGGAAGGGTTTGGTGGGCATTGACCTAGAGTTTGGGAGTTGTAGTTCACCTACATCCAAAGAGCACTGTGGACTCAAACAATGACGGATCAGGAATTGACACAAATACTCAATATGCCCCAATGTGAACACTGGTGACGTTTAGGGAAAGTAGACCTTGACATTTGGAAGTTGTAGTTGCTGGGATTTATAGTTCACCTACAATCAAAGAGCATTCTGAACTCTATTAACAATGGAATTGAACCAAATTTGGCACACTTCTCCCATGACCAACGGAAAATACTGGAAGGGTTTGGTGGGCAGTGTCCTTTGGTTTTGGAGTTGTAGTTCACCTACATCCAGAGATCACTGTGGACTCGAACAATTATGGATCTGGACCAAACTCTACACAAATACTCAATATGCCCAAATGTGAACACTGGTGGAGTTTGGGGAACATAGAATCTTGACATTTGGGAGTTGTAGTTGCAGGGATTTATAGTTCACCTACAATCAAAGAGTATTCTGAACCCCACCAACAATAGAATTGGGCCAAACTTCCCACACAGAACCCCCATGACCAACAAAAAATACTGTGTTTCCTGATGGTCTTTGGTGACCCCTCTGACACCCCCTCATGACCCCCCCAGGGGTCCCGACCCCCAGGTTGAGAAACACTGCTTTACAGTATTTATAGGCACCCAAAAAAGTCTAGTAGCTGCATGTATGTTAAGGGAGAGAAAACAATTGTGTACACTCACGGATCCAAGTCAAAATACAGCCGCTGATTGGTGGCAACCTTCCGATCCACGGAGAAGAGGACCTGGCCGGGCTGACGAAGGTCCCAGCACAAGATCTCAGCATCCTGAAGTGGGAGAAAGAGAAGCAACAATATTAGATTATGGTGATCCTCAACTCCTATGATGCACAACATAAAGGTAATATGGTGTCTGTGGTATAAAATGGCAAAATAAAGCTTTGCTTTTTGGAATTTTAAAATATTTTCAAGCCATGGATGGTTGTATTCATGGATACAGAATCTTTGGAAACAAGAGGATATGTTGTATTTCATTTAGAAACATTTACATCCTGCCCTACATCCAAAGATCTCAATGTTTACAACATCTATTTAAAATAGGTATGGGCAAACTTTGGCCCTCCCGGTGTTTTGGACTACAACTCCCACAATCCCTAACAGCCGGTAGGCTGTTAGGGATTGTGGGAGTTGAAGTCCAAAACACCGGGAGGGCCAAAGTTTGTCCATGCCTGATTCAAAACAACAGATATCCATTACACTATGAAACACAATTATTGTTCCGGAGTTATAAATTTCATTTCCTAATTGGTCCTATTATAAAAATATGGGAAAAGTTTATTAATCTCCAAAAACTTTGTTTTGATGGGACATCCTGCACATTTTGCTACAGTTTTTCCAATAGATATCTTACCAAGTCACAATCAATTTGGATAGTTTGTGACCTTGAGTTTGGGAGTTGTAGTTCACCTACATCGAGAGAGCACTGTGGACTCAATGATGGATCTGGACCAAACTCAAGAATACTCAATATGCCCAAATGTGAACTCTGGTGGAGTTCGGGGAAAATAGACCTTGACATTTGGGAGTTGTAGTTGATGGGATTGATAGTTCACCTACAGTCAAAGAGCATTCTGAACTCCATCAATGATGGAATTGAACCAAACTTGGCACACAGAACCCCCATGACCAACAGAATATCCTGGAAGGGTCTGGTGGGCATTGACCTTGAGTTTTGGAGTTGTAGTTCACCTACATTGAGAGAGCACTGTGGACTCAAACAATGATTGATCTGGACCAAACTCGGCAAGAATACTCAATATGCCCAAATGTGAACACTGGTGGAGTTTGGGGAAAATAGATCTTGACATTTGGGAGTTGTAGTTGCTGGGATTTATAGTTCATCTGCAATCAAAGAGCATTCTGAAAACCAAAAATTATAGAATTGGGCCAAATGTCCCACACATAATGTCCATGACCAACAGAAAATACTCTGTTTTCTGATGGTCTTTGGTGACCGCTGAGACCCCCTCACAACCCCCCCGACCTCCAGGTTGTGAAACGCTGAGTTAGAACAATGTTAAGTAAAGCAACTGTAAAATACATAAGACCTTTGATATTGCCTGGGAAGGGAAGGTCTCACATCCAAAATAATAACCAGGCTTAAATCTGCTTAAACCTGATAAGATGACCCTAAAATTGAGGGCAAGGCATTCACCATATTAGCCAACAGCCTTCTAATTATGCCCCTTATTTTTCTCGTTGCTCAGGCCATCTGCTTTTCTCCCATAGAGCCTTACCTTACGACCACCAGTAAATAAGTGGTTGCCGTCGGGGGAAAAGAGCGCATGAGTGATGCCCCCCTGGTGCCCCTGGAGCATAGCCAGCGCATGGCCTTCTTCCAAGGAATAGAGGCCCACCGTCTTGGCGTAGGATGTACAAGCGTACAGCGGCTGCGTTGGGCTGAAGGCGATGCAAGAAATGATGCCGCTCTGGCCTTGCTTCTTCACTAGGAAAGAGGCAACAAAGTCAGGAACCCAAAGGCCAAAACATGGCCTTCTTTACCATTACCCCACAGGTGTCAACAAATTTTTGGACAAAGGATGTCAAAACTTCTCATAGTTTCCCCCAAATAACATAATTTTCTCTCTTTTTAAATTAACAAGATATACAAGGTTTTTACCAACACAACCCGCTTTTATTTTTGCTACCAGTAGTCTCACTGAATGCTTTTTATTTCTCAAAGACTTCAAATGTTGTCGTGGTGTGGCTTCTGTTGGAAATAGAAACCCTCCAAGCCTCCACTATTTGTTTGTTCATGTATATATCTGCTAACCTGTATGTTTTGTGTGTGTGTGTGTGATTTGTCAGTTTGATTATACTGAGCATGTTCAGACTCAAGACTTCATTTTGTTAACAGTATGTTTTTTAGACTTCAATGGAAACAGTATGTTTTTGGACTTATGCAAGAACAGTTTACTATATGTATTGTCGAAGGCTTTCATGGCCGAATCACTGGGTTGTAGGTTTTTCCGGGCTATATGGCCATGTTCTAGAGGATTTTCAGCATGTGGACAATTTCAATAGAAAGGAAGAAACCATGAAAATGAACAAAATCTGGCTACCAGTATTAAAAAAACTCTACAATTACAACAGCAAAACAACAGAGAGGAAACAATCTAGGACATCTAATCACCTCTCAACAAAAGATTGCCCCAGGCACTGCCAGGCCATCAAATGCTAATCAAGGTGGTCAGTTGAAACATTTACACCTAGCTCCAGCAGACAAGAGTCCTTTGTCCCACCCTGGTCATTCCACAGATATATAAACCCTTTTTCCTAATTCCAACAGACCTCACTACCTCTGAGGATGCTTGCCATAGATGCAGGTGAAACGTCAGGAGAGAATGCCTCTAGAACATGGCCATATAGCCCGAAAAAACCCACAACAACCCATTGATTCTGTACATGAAAGCCTTCGACAATCACTTGTGGTTGTTTTGCACCAAAAACATCATTTTCTACAGATCAAATAATGTTTCCTGAACAAAAAAAAGCTGCTTTCTGTGTAAATCAAATACATCTTATCATAACTTAATTAATAATACATTAGCTTATATTTGAATAAAATTATTATTAAACAATTATTTCAAATAATATTTTTTTATTAATCTCTTACCTCAATTTAAGTTCTTTCCAATTATTTTTTTTTTGTTTTTTTTTTTTTTTTTTTTTTTTTTTTTTTTTTTTTTTTTTTTTTTTTTTTTTTTTTGTTTTGTTTGTGTTTTTTTCATTGTTTAGCTTTTCTGGGGGGGGGGGGGGGGGGGGGGGGGGGGGGGGGGGGGGGGGGGGGGGGGGGGGGGGGGGGGTGTTTGAGTGGTTTGTGAGTGCTCCTGTTATTTGAAGGTGGAGGGAGGGAGATGAGAATATTTGTTTTGGGCAACTGCAACTGCAATTTCAGCTTCAAAGAAATATTTTAAAACTCTGCTAGCCATATATGTTTTTGTGCAGTGGCATGCCTTTGTTCCTGGCAGTTCAAAGACATGGTTTATCAGTTTAACAGCTGAGCTGCCTGTGAGTCATTACGTGAATGCTTGTGAACATTGACTTCTAGCAAGGGTCATGCCTTTCCCTGACTAGTGGTTTTCAAAAGGTGGTCTTCTGATGTTCATGGAGATTCACATTTGCCTAAAGCAGGGGTCTTCAAACTAAGACCCGGGGGCCAGATACGGCCCTCCAAGGTCATTTACCTGACCCTCGCTCAGGGTCTACCTAACTCTGAAACGGCTTGAAAGCACACAACAACTATACTATCTCATCAGCCAAAAGCAGGCTCACACTTCCCATTGAAATACTAATAAGTTTATATTTGGGTTGTTGTAGATTTTTTCGGGCTATATGGCCATGGTCTAGAGGGCATTCTCTCCTGACGTTTCGCCTGCATCTATGGCAAGCATCCTCAGAGGTAGTGAGGTCTGTTGGAACTAGGAAAAAGGGTTTATATATCTGTGGAATGACCAGGGTGGGACAAAGGACTCTTGTCTGCTGAGCTAGGTGTGAATGTTTCAACTGACCACCTTGATTAGCATTTGATGGCCTGGCAGTGCCTGGGGCAATTTTTTGTTGAGAGGTGATTAGATGTCCTTGATTGTTACCTCTCTTTTGTTGTGCTGTTGTAATTTTAGAGTTTTTAATACTGGTAGCCAGATTTTGTTCATTTTCATGGTTTCCTCCTTTCTGTTGAAATTGTCCACATGCTTGTGGATTTCAATGGCTTCTCTGTGTAGTCTGACATGGTGGTTGTGAGTGGTCAAGCATTTCTGTGTTCTCAAATAATATGCTATGTCCAGGTTGGTTCACCAAAGCTGAATATTTATTTACGACATTTATATGCCGCCCTTATCACCCCAAAGGGAACTCAGAGCGTCTTACAAGGTATAATGTATTGTCGAAGGCTTTCATGGCCAGAATCACTGGGTTGTTGTAGGTATTTCCGGGCTATATGGCCATGGTCTAGAGGCATTCTCTCCTGATGTTTCGCCTGCATCTATGGCAAGCAATCTCTGAGGATGCTTGCCATAGATGCAGGCGAAACGTCAGGAGAGAATGCCTCTAAACCATGGCCATATAGCCCGAAAAAACCTACAACAACCCAGTTACAAGGGATATATTACATATAATATATTATATTATCAGCATAGTACAATATCAGCATTAAACATTGCTATATTGCACCATATCACTATATTGTAATATTATATGTAATATCAATATATAATTATAATATATTATTATATTGCATTACATTATAATATTATAAATATTATATGTATATACAATATATTATATTATATTATTAGAATAGCACAGGAGACAAAATGGGATTATTAGAATATTACATGTAACATAAATATATAATTATAATATCATATCATTATTATACTGGATTACATTATAATATTATAAATATTATATGTATATACAATATATTATATTATATTATATTATTAGAATAACACAGGAGACATGGTGGAATTATTAGAATATTATATGTAATATAAATATATAATTATAATATCATATTATTATTATATTGGATTACATTATAATATTATAAATATTATATGTATATACAATATATTATATTATATTATATTATTAGAATAGCACAGGAGACAAGGTGGAATTATTAGATTATTATATGTAATATAAATATATAATTATAATATCATATTATTATTATATTGGATTACATTATTATATTATAAATATTATATGTATATACAATATATTATATTATTAGAATAGCACAGGAGACAAGGTGGAATAATTAGAATATTATATGTAATATAAATATATAATTATAATATCATATTATTATTATATTGGATTACATTATAATATTATAAATATTATATGTATATACAATATATTATATTATATTATATTATATTATTAGAATAGCACAGGAGACAAGGTGGAATTATTAGATTATTATATGTAATATAAATAAATTATAATATCATATTATTATTATATTGGATTACATTATTATATTATAAATATTATATGTATATACAATATATTATATTATTAGAATAGCACAGGAGACAAGGTGGAATAATTAGAATATTATATGTAATATACAATATATTATATTATATTATTAGCATAGCACAGGAGACAAGATGGAATTATTAGAATATTATATGTAATATAAATATATAATTATAATATCATATTATTATTATATTGGATTACATTATTATATTATAAATATTATATGTATATACAATATATTATATTATATTATTATTATATTATATTATATTATATTAGAATAGCACAGGAGACAAAGTGGAATTATTAGAATATTATATGTAATATACAATATATTATATTATATTATATTATATTATATTATATTATTATTAGCATAGCACAGGAGACAAGGTGGAATTATTAGAATATTATATGTAATATACAATATATTATATTATATTATTATATTATTAGCATAGCACAGGAGACAAGGTGGAATTATTAGAATATTATATGTAATATAAATATATAATTATAATATCATATTATTATACTGGATTACATTATAATATTATAAATATTATATGTATATCCAATATATTATATTATATTAGCATAGCACAGGAGACAAGGTGGAAATATTAGAATATTATATGTAATATACAATATATTATATTATATTATATTATTAGAATAGCACAGGAAACAAGGTGGAATTATTATAATATTATATGTAATATAAATATATAATTATAATATCATATTATTATACTGGATTACATTATAATATTATAAATATTATATGTATATACAATATATTATATTATATTATATTATATTATATTATATTATATTATATTATATTATATTATTAGAACAGACCAGGAGACAATACAGTGGAATTACTCCCCAAAAAACAGTAATATTCCTAAATTCTGACCCCAGTTGGGGTAGGCTTACCCAAAGTAGGCCTGTTCTCACACATCCGTCCGGGACGCGATGTGTTGAACACCCTCACGGTCTTGTTGAAGCCGCAGAAAAGCCGAGAGCCATCCGGGGTGAAGGACAGGCAATGGGCAGCGGTCAGTTCGTCCTGGAGGAAGGTCAACAGAAAACAGTTGGGATTAGGGAAGGAAACAGTCAGAAAAGGTGGGAGAAGCAAGCTTGCTTCAGGATGGAAAGCACCCAGTGGGTAAATAGGGCACCCTACATTCTCCTAAATCAGGCACAGGCCAACTTGGGCCCTCCAAGTGTTTTGGACTTCAACTCCCACAATTCCTAACAGCCTACCGACTGTTAGCAATTGTGGTAGTTGAAGTCCAAAACACTTGGAAGGCCCAAGCTGGCCTGTGCCCGTCCTAGATACTCACCAGGTGGTTGTAAGGCCGGAAAGTCGCTTTGAGATCGCCATTAAAAGCATCCCATATGTGGATGGGGTTGTCCCGGCTACTGCTGGCCACACTGGAGGGGCAGAAAAAGGAAGTATTTTCATTCACTGGACCAAATTTAGCACAGATACGCAAAATGCCCAAATGTAAACACTGATGGAGTTTGGGGGAAAGAGACTTGAAATTTGGTTGTTGCTGGGATTTATAGTTCACCTACAATCATAGTCATAGTTGCTGGGATTTATAGTTCACCAACAATCAAAGAGTATTCTGAACTCCACCAATGATGGAATTGAATTGCTACTTCATATCTATAATTTTAGTACTGTTATGAATCGTAATGTAAATATCTGATATGCAGGATGCATTTTCATTCCCTGGACCAAGTTTGGCACAATTACGTGAACTTTGGATACTAGTGGGGTTGGGAAGGGTTGATTTTGTCATTTGGGAATAGTAGTTGCTGGGATTTATAGTTCACCTAAAATCAAAGAGCATTCTGAACTCCACCAATGATGGAATTGAACCAAACTTGGCACACAGAACTCCCATGACTAACAGAAAATACGGGAAGAGTTTGGTGGGCACTGACCTTGAGTTTGGGAGTTGTAGTTCACCTACAACCAGAGAGCACTGTGGACTCAAACAATGATGGATCTGGACCAAACTTGGCATAAATACTCAATATGCCCAGATGTGAACTCTGGTGGAGTTTGGGGGAAATAGACCTTGACATTTGGGAGTTGTAGTTGCTGGGATTTATAGTTCACTTACAATCAAAGAGCATTCTGAACCCCACCAACGTTATTGGGCCAAACTCTATATGGACTTATACATTTTAAGTATGAGACGCTAATGAGATGTTTTATTGATTTATATTGACTGTATGCTACTATTTTAATTGTTTTTAACTGTTTTATGATGTTTTTGAGTATTGAATTTTGCTATTATTAACCGCTCTGAGTCGCCCGAGGGATGAGAAGAGCAGTATACAAATATTGTGTGTGTGTGTGTGTCTGTGTGTGTGTATGTATATGTGTGTGTGTATTTGGCACAAATATTCAATATGCCTAAATGTCAACACTGGTGAAGTTTGGGGAAAATAGACCTTGACATTTGGGAGRTGTGGTTGCTGGGATTTATAGTTCACCTACAATCAAAGAACCCTTTGAACCCCCCACTGAMAGAATTGGGCCAAACTTCCCACACAGAACCCCCATAACCAAAAGATAATACTGGAGGGATTTGGGAGGAATTGACAGTGTTTTAAGGGAGAGCATGCTTGCTCTCCCTCTCTGCGCTTGGAGTCTCAGAAACAACCCTCCCCTTTGCTGAGAGACCGGCTGAGAGGTCAGCCAATCACAGCAGGAGGGTTTTTGGTGGGAAGATTCACCTTCTGTTTCCAATAAGGAAGAGAAGGACAGGTGGACAGATCTTCAGCCTTCTCTGCCAAAAGGGTTCCTTAGACCATCAGAAACATGTGTTTTCTGATGGTCTTTGGTGACTCCTTTGAAACACCCCTTTCGATCCCCCAAAAGTCCCAACCACCAAGTTGAGAAACACTGTCTTAGTATATGCTATCCTGTCCCCTTAATATATGACTTGGCTGAAAATAATGGGCAGGAAGAATGATGATGGAGGAAAATGCAGCAGAGTTGACACATGCTAAGGCTCCATTGTTTAGATCAGGCTCCTCAGAATAAATGGAAATCTTGTGACCCTCCTCATGTTACTGAACTGCAAATCCCAGAAGACCATTTCTTGCATATAACCGAGGGTGAAGGGTACTGGAAGCTCGAGTTCAATGACATCTGGATCGCCAGACAATTCTCATTCTCTGATATAGTTTCCAGCTAGAATTCTTCACATCTATGGCAGGCATCCTCAGAGGTTGTGAGGTCTATTGCAAATTAGTTAAGTGGGGTTTATATATCTACGGAATAATGTCCAGGATGGGAGAAAGAACTCTTGTCTGTTGGAGGCAAGTGTGAATGATGCAACTGATAACCCTGATTAGCACTGAATAGCCTTGCAGCTTCAAAGCTTGGCTGGTTGCTCCCTGGGAGAATCCTTTGTTGGGAGGTGTTAGCTGGCCCTGATTGATTAATGTCTGGAATCCCCCTGCTTTTTGAGTGTTGCTCTTTATTTACTGCCCTGATTTTCTATATTATTTGAGAACACAGTAATGCTGGACTACTCTAACAACCACTATGTCAGACTACACAGAAAAGCCATTGAAATCTTCCCTGTCCTGGCTGCTCTCAATCTGGGGCATTTGAAGGCAAACAGGGGGGAAGACAGAGGAGTGAGGAGAAGGGGGAAATAGAGGGATTTACAAACAAGTCTGTGGGTCGGAAGAGTTCATCAGCGGAAACCAGCAGTAGTCATAGACAGTGTCTCCTTCTGCCATACGTAGCACTGGGCTCTGTGGAGAGGAAAACAGAGGAGAAACCAAGATTTGGGAAGAGAAAACCATCCTGTGGAGACTTGAAAATAAGCCCCAAAAAGAATCCAGTTTAGTCCTCAATAGGAGCTACACTCAATGGAGAGAATGCTTCTGGAACATGGCCAGACAGCCCAGAAAGCTCACAGCAACCCAGTGATTCCGGCCATGAAAGCCTTTTATGATAGCATTGTTTTCTCTCTCTGTCTTAAGCATGTTGCACCCAGCCTCAAGCTGCAATGAGAGGCAGGAAATAAATTATTATTATTATTATTGCTGTTGTTGCTATTGTTATTTCCCCCTTTGTGCCCACTGTACACAAGACCTGCATCCCCCACTTTGTACCATTTCAGCAACAGTCCCCCATTCCTCAGAATACAGCTCCGCCGGAAGGTTGTAAATCCGCAGCGTGTTGTCCGCACTGTTGGTGAGCAAACAAGTCCCATCAGGAGCCCTGAAAAGAGAGGCATGGCATTAGCAACAACACCAATGAGATGAAGAGATCGTGTGGGTTCATACAGAGAAATGCGGTCACGCAGGTAGGCGGGTCCCAAACCGTTCAGGGCTTTGTAGGTAAGAACCTGCACCTTGAATTGGGACCGGAAAATGACCAGCAGCCAGTGGAGCTCCTTAAACAGGAGGGTTGACTGCTCCCTGTAAGGAGCACCAGTTAACAACCTCGCCGCCGTCCGTTGAACCAATTGAAATTTCCGGGCCATTTTCAAGGGCAGCCCCACATAGAGTGCATTACAGTAGTCCAATCTGGAGGTGACTAAGGCATGGACCACTCTGGCCAGATCCGCCTTCACGAGATACGGTCGCAGGTGGAGCACAAGTCTTAATTGTGCAAAGGCCCTCCTGGCCACTGCCGACACATGACCTTCAAGCGTAAGCGATGAGTCCAGGAGGACACCCAGACTGCGGACCTGTGATTTCAAGGGGCTCCTCATTTCCCTCCAGGCTGCTTCTAAGCTCCGCCTCCCCTAGGAAATCCTAAAATGGCTGCTCCCAGGTATCATTTCATAAAATGGCTGCCAAAACAACTGGGCCGACTTCCTGAGCTTTACCCTGGCCTAAAAGGTAGGGAATATATCACACATGGCATTAGCAACAACATCAATGGGATTCAGTGCCTGGTCCATCAGACTCATCACCCTTCATGGACCCTTCCATAGTAAGAACATAGTTTTCTAAGATCTATAGAGACACTCGCTGGAACACTTCAGCAAGCGAGAGTCCAAAAGTGGCAGGCTCAAACCCAGAACCTCAATCAATGGCTGATACCAAATGAGAGACTCCCCCCTGGGCACACAGAAAACTGGGTGACTTGGAAGGCGCTGAACAGACTGCGCTCTGGCACCACGAGATGCAGAGCCAACCTCAAGAAATGGGCACAAAGTGGAATCCACGACATGCGAGTGTGGAGAAGAGCAAACCACTGACCACCTGCTGCAATGCAACCTGAGCCCTGCCACATGCACAATGGAGGACCTCCTTGCGGCAACACCAGAGGCACTCCAAGTGGCCAGATATTGGTCAAAGGACATTTAATCAACTACCAAGCTTGCAAACTTTGTGTTTTATCTGTTTGTTTGTTTTTGTTAAAAATGTAATACAAATGTCTGGTTGCTCCTGACACAATAAATAAAATAATTAGCAAGAACAGGGAACAAGGTACAATAAGAACCCTCTATCCAGGCCACCTACTCACCATTTGCATCCCTTCAAGAAGTTTTCTGGCATGCGGCCGTACTCGGCCCAAGAGCCCGTCAGAAGTCTGGGAGGCTGGGAGAAGTCATATGCTGGAAAGCTAGGAGAGAAGCAAAAAGCAAATCACGAGCAAAGTGTTTACCTAAATCAGATATAAGCAAACTTTGACTCTCCAGGACTTCAATTCCTAACAGTTACATGGGAGTTATAGTTTTGCAAGGCCTTTACCCTTCTTTGGCTGGTGCCCCACCAAATGACAAATCTCAGCATTCCAAAGCAGTTCAAGTAATGTTAAAGTGTATTAAACTTACAGTGTAAACCAGGCATGAGCAAACTTTGGTCCTTCAGGTGTTTTGGACTTCAACTCCCACAATTCCTAACAGCCTCAGGCCCTTTCCTTTTCCCCCTCAGCCGCTTAAGCGGCTGAGGGGGAAAAGGAAGGGGCCTGAGGCTGTTAGGAATGGTGGGAGTCCAAAACACCTGGAGGACCCAAGTTTGTCCATGCCTGGTGTAGATGTACTCTAATTTGAGCTGTTTCCATCGAGCAGACTACAAGAGAACATCCATAACTCACTAATATTCGCCTCTTTCTGTCGAAGGTTCATGTTCTTCCTTCTTCTCTTCCTCTGGTCCTTGCTCTGAATGCTGCTTAACATCTTCCAATTGGGGCTCTCCTCCTGAGAGGTCAGCTCCAGAAAACATCTCAGCCGAACCCTCTTCATTTCCTGGATCTCCAATCTGCATTGGCACTGTTGTAAATGGTTCTGCAACTCCTTCTGGTTCCACACCTGATGGCTGGTCCGTATTGACTACATCCGGATTGTCAGAAGATGGTTGAGTTTCCATCGCACAAAACTTCCAGGATCCAAATCCAAACTCTAAGAAGCAGGACCAGGATACTTATAGTCCAAGTCCCAGCCAGGTTTCCCACCAGAGCTTGAAGAGGAGACACCATCAGGTGCTTCATGCATCTCTGCATAGAAATGGAGAGTGCCAGGATGGAGTGATGTCCCTGTGGATCAAACAAAAGAAGCAAGAGAAGCTCAAATCCAATCCCTCTGGGTATCATCACAAAATTCAGTAGCAAGACCACCCCACCTTTTGTTTATTTATTTATTTACAGTATGGCTTTGAAAGGCATTAGATCACAGGAGCTGTCTTCATAGACCTGTCAGCAGCTTA